GCAATGGCTGGAGCAGCCTCACGGCAGCGGCTGTCTTCATCGGAGCCATCCCCACAGTCGTCTGCCCCATCGCACACCCAGAGCTTGGAGATGCAGCGGTGGTTGTTGCACTCAAACTGCACGGGGTAGCAGAACTTGTCTGGGAGAGGAGAGGAGGGGTCAGAGCTACGGCAATGCAGGGGGAAGGATGCGATGGTGACGGGCACGGGAGCTGCAGGACCAGGGGGGGATTCCCTGCTCTGTAGCTGGAGACATTCCCCAGTTCCTGAGCAATGGCTGGGGTTTATGCAGGGGGGTTGGAACTAAAACTAAACTGAGTGAGCCATAACTGGCCACCTTCAAAACGACCCTGAGCACCAGTGTGTGCACTGAGCAACGCATTGGTCATAGTTAAAAGCCCAAGCTTGTGGAATAAGACCCACAGAGGGGGAAGAATCTGGAGCCTGGTCCTTGGCAAAGGGATGTCAGAGAGAGGAGAGGGTCCTGCCTCCCATCCCGCATGCCTGCGCTCGCCACCCTGTGCCATCACCCCAGGGTCCCTTGCTCTCCCCACCCTGCCGCTCACTGCAGTGGGTCTCATCTTCTCCGTTCTCGCAGTCATCCTCTTTGTCACAGGTCCAAGTCATGGGGATGCACCTCCCGCTTGGGCAGGCAAAGTAATTGGCTGGACACTTGGGTTTCCTCCCACCTGGTTCGCGAAGGGAAACATCCGTAAGGGTGGTGTGGACACGTCCTGCCTCCTCCCAACCCAGAACCACCCGGCTCCAAAGGATTCCTCCCCCAAAGCCCTCCGTGATCCTGCATCCATCAGCACCCTCCATACAGGACGACATCCCAGTGTGCCAACAAAGCACCCGCCATCCAAACAGACCCCAAAGGGAAGCACCCATGGTGATGCCCCGGCTCTCCCAGGCCCGAGCCCCCTGTTCCTCTCCCTGCACTCACCTGGGCAGTTGCGCTCATCTGAGTAGTCTCCGCAATCATTCGCCCCATCGCACACCCAGCTCGGGGCGTAGCACAGGGACGTGTGTTCACACTTCTGGAACGTGGTACCCTTCACCCCCAGCTTGAAATAGCTGCTGCAGTCAGTGGCGGCTGCAAGGAACCACACCAGGAGCCCCGGTGATGGGTGTCCCTCAGCGCCACCGCGCAGCATGAGCCCTCCCCTGTGTCCAACAGCCCTTCCCTCCCCAGAGCAGCACTGAGCACCAGCCCTGTGAGCTGCTGGGACCACGTTCAGCGCTTCTGATGGGCTATGGGGCGGTGAGGGACCAAGCACGGCATTAAGGGATGAAGCACTGGGCCGGCTGCTGCTGATGGGACAGGAGCCAGGGCCCTTCTCCCTTATCCCAAGGACTGCAACATGGTGCAGGGACCCAGAGCTGCGCCCTCAGGTGCAGAGGGCAGGAGCAGCTCCATCAGGGCAGAGCTGGGAGCGAGGGGCAGAGCTGGAGCACTCACTGCAGTTCATCTCATCCGAAGCATCCTCGCAGTCAATGAACTGATTGCAGCGGCTCGAGTTCCCGATGCAGGTCCCATCCCGGCAGCGGAACTCGGTGGCAGCACAGCTGGTTTCTGTAAGGGGGAAGCCCCCGCAGGGGATGAGGCTGGGTGGGGGGACCCAGCAGCCCCCATACACCCACTGCCCAGCACAGCTATGAGCCGCCTGATCCTGCACCCCCATCTCTGCTCCCCTCGTGGCTGAGACCTGGTGTCTCTCCAGCTCAACACACTCTGCCTGGAGCCAGAGCTCGTCGTCTGAGCTGGGCTGGATGAGCTCAGGGAACCCCTGAACTTCTCTGTTGGTTCTGAACCAAGCACCCCTGCAGGGTCGCTCGGGGG